CAAGAAAACATAGGATACAGATAACTTCACAACAATAAAACCAAAAGAAAATAAACACATGAAACACTATCACCACCAACTCTACAATAAAAGGAATTAACAATCATTGGTCACTAATATCTATCAACACCAGTGGATTCAATTCTCCAATTAAAAAAAAAACCCACAGGCTAACAGGATGGTTGCAGAAACAGGATTCTAGTTTCTGCTGCATTCAAGAAACGTACCTCAGCAACAAAGATAAACACTACCTCAGAATAAAGGTCTGGATAAATGTTTTCCAAGCAAAAGAATACAAGAAGCAAGCTGGAGTAGACATCCTAATATGTAATAAAATAGACTTTCAAACAAAATTTTAATCAAAGGAGATGGGGAAGAACACTTCATGCTCATCAAAGGAAGAATCTAGCAAGAGAACTTCACAATCCTGATCATCTATCCTCCACATATAAATCCACGCGCTCTCATAAAAGAAACATTATTAAAGCTTAAATCACACATTGATCCCATGACATTGATAGTGGGAAACTTCAACACCCCACTCTCACCAATGGACAGATCATTAAGACAAAAGCTAGAGAAATAAAGAAGTTAACAGAGGTCATTAATCAAACAGGCATAGTAGATGTTTATAGAACTTTTCACCCAAGCACAAAGGAATAATACTTTTTTCTCAGCACCACATGGACCTTCTCCAAAATTGACCATATAATTGGTCACAAAGCAAACCTCAACTGATACATGAAAATTGAATTAACCCATTGCTCTTTCCCAGATCACCATGGATAAAAGCTAGACCTCAAAAACAACAGAAACAATAAAAATCCTACACACCCATGGAAACTGAACAACTCTCTGCTCAGTGATCTCTGGGTGACAGAATAAAAAAAAAAAAAAAAAAAAAAAAAAAAAAAAAAAAAAAAAAAAAAATTAAAGACTTCCTAGAATTTAATGAAAATGAGGGCATAACTTACACGAACTTATGGAACACCATGAAAGCAGTGCTAAGAAAAGTTCACAGCACTAAGTGCCTTCAGAGAGAAACAGGAGAGATCCCATGTTAGCAACTTAACAGCTCACCTGAAAGCTTTGGGGAAAAAAAAGAAAACACACCTAAGAGGAGTAGATGGCATGAAATAATCAAACTCAGGGCTGAAATGAATAAATTAGAAACAAAAAAAGCAATACAAAGAATCAACGAAACCAAGACCTGGTTCTTTGAAAAAAGAAAAATCAACAAGATAGGTAAACCCCTAGCCAAATTAACTAAAAGGCAGAGAGACAGTACCCAAATTAACAAATTCAGAAATGTAAAGGGGGACGTAACAACAGACACTGAAGAAATCCAAAAATCATTAGGTCTTGCTTCAAAAACCTATATTCTGCAAAATTGGAAAATGTAAAGGAAATGAATGATTTTAATAGATTTCACTTACTGAATTTAAATCAAGAGCAGGTAAACAGTTTAAACAGCCCAATAACCCCAAAGGAAAAAGAAGTAGCCATCAAAAGTCTCCCAAACCAAAAAGCCCAGGTACAGTTGGTGTTAGTGTGGTTAAGTCTAACCAAGGAAGTCAAAGGCCTGTATGACGAGAACTTCAAATCTCTGAAGAAAGAAATTTAAGAAGATATCAGAAGATGGAGAGATTTCCCATGCTCATGAATTGATAGGATTAACATAGTAAAAATGGCCATCTTACCAAAAGCAATCTATAAATTCAATGCAATCCCCATCAAAATACCAACACAAATTTTCACAGACCTAGAAAGAACAATTCTAAACATCATATGGAAAAAACAAAAACCCAGAATAGCAAAAACAATCTTATACAATAATAGAACTCTGGAGGTCTATACCTGACCTCAAGCTAAACTACAGAGCCATACATAAAAACTGCATCACACTGGCATAAAAACAGGCTAGTTGATCAATGGAAACAAATAGAAGACCCAGAAGTAAACCCACACACCTATGCACACCTGAATTTTGACAAAGGAGCCAAAATCATACATTGGAAAAAAGACAGCATCTTCAACAAATTGTACTGGTCTAACTGGATGTCTACATGTAGAAAAATGCACATAGATCTATATTTATCACCCTGCACAAATCTCAAGTCCAAATGGATCAAAGACCTCAACATAAAACCAGATACACTAAATCTGTTAGAAGAAAATGTGGGGAAGAGCCTTGAGCTCATTGACATAGGAGACAACTTCTGAACAGAACACCAACAGCTCAGGGTTTAAGATCTACAACTAATAAATGGGACCTCTAGACACTGAAAATCTTCTGTAAAGCAAAGGACACTGTCAATAGAATGAGATGGCAGTCTGTAGATTGGGAAAGGATCTTCACCAACCCTATATCTGACAAAGGGCTAAAATCCAGAATATATAAAGAACTCAAGAAATTAAACAGCAACAAACCAAATAATCCAATTAAAATGGGATGCAGAGCTAAACAGAGAATTCTCAATAGAGGAATCTTGAATGGTGGAGGAGCACTAAAACAAACAAATAAATAAATAAATAAATACAATTAAAAGAAAAAAGTTCAAAGTCCTTAGTTATCAGGGAAATTCAAATCAAAACAACTCTGAGATTCCATCTTTCACATGTCAGAAAGGCTAAAATCAGAAACTCAAGTGACAAAACATGCTAGTGAGGATGTGGAGAAAGGGGAACCCTCCTCCATTGCTGGTGGAAATGTAACCATGTACAACCACTTTGAAAATCTATCTGTTACCTTCTCAGAAAGCTGGGAATAGCCATTCCTCAAGACCTAGCTATACCACTACTGTGTATACACCTGAAAGACGCTCTACCATACATCAAGGACATTTGCTTAACCATGTTCATAGCAGCTTTATTTGTAATAGCCAGAAACTGGAAACAACCTAGATGTCCCTCAACCAAAGAATAGATACAGAAATTGTGGTACCTTTACACAATGGAATATTAGTCGGCTATTTAAAACACAGACATCATGAAAATTGCAGGCAAATGGATGGAACTAGAAAATATCATCCTGAGTAAGGTAACATAGACCCAGAAAGACACACATGGTATATACTCATGTGTAGTTGGATTGTAGTTACATGATATGGGGTAGACATTCAACAGTGCACAGACCCCAAGAAGATAAGCCCGATGGACATCTCAGGCTTCATGTAGGACTACTAGTTAGGGCATCAGGGGAGATCTCTGCTGCAGACTGTGCTGCTGGCTTTTTGATCACTTCCCCTTGATGGGACTTCCCTACAAGGCCACAGGGGAGAAAGATGAACTCGGTCTTCATGTAAATACATGAAATAGGTTGTCTGCATAGGGGAATGTGGGGAGGAGGGTGGGATTGGGAAGAGAGGAGAGAGGGGCCAATGACTAAGATGTAAATTGAATTAATTAATAAAAATAAGTGTCAAAAAACCGTTTTACCTGTCATGCATCTTAAATGCTAATGTGCCACTTGATTTGCTGACTATTAAAATTTTAATTCTTTTGATTTCTACATAGCAGTCAACAATTAACCGCTCTCCATATTTTAACACACTTTTCTTCAACTTGGGGATACTGTATGCTCCTGGTTTGCCTTAAAACTTCCCACCCTGTTCTCATCCTTCCCTGTTCCCTCTCTTCCTACCATCATCAAAAGCTGTAATGCCTCACTAAACAGGTTTAGAGTCTCTCTTCATTTTAGTCAGTCCCCTGTGTCTAGATGACACAGCACAAGTTCTTTACTGAAACTGCAACTCAAGATGTTACTTACAAGAAATAGATTTCTTTCCCCAGTGGTTTAATTGTCTCCTTTTAGACACTACTACCGGAGTGTAGATTCAATAAAAGCTTACGCTATTACACACAGCTGGTCCTCTTTCAGCGTTCTCTCTTGGTGAAGTCACTACCCAAGAATCCAAACTAAAGATTAAATTTATCTGGAATACACCCTCATTTCATCCCATGGATTCAATCTTTTTCCAAATTCCACTGCTATCGTGCCAAACACAAGCATAATTAATTTTCTGTTCTCTGTATTTCCCAACAATTTGTACTCCAAATACAAATATCTCTCACCTGAACCGGCTAACTAGCCTTCATATTTATCTTCCCGATTCTATGTCCTTGTATTCTTATCTCATTACATGTTAATCTTGACATTCTCTTTCTGAAAGACTGAATGAGCATTCATATTTCTGCTTGAAATACTGTTTTATCTGCATTTTGTGTGTAGGCCTATATCCTCAGTATTAGTGGCATCTTGAAAGATGTAGCCCTTCCTTAACTCGCTTCATCTCACACTGTGTCATTCTCTTATTTTTCTGAACTTTTGTCTTACTGTTCATTTTCATTTCCTTGAGTGCCCTGGGACATTTCTGACAAAGAACTCTTGTACATGCTGTCATCTCTCCTTTGTCTAATGACTATTATCTTGAATTTAAATCCTCAGGTGTTACTTATTTCAGGGTGAACTAAGTTTTCCATTTTGGGTTCCTCTCTGTTACATAATGATGTATTTATTTATGCACATGCATTCCCACCATAGTAAGAATCACCAGAATAGCTTTGGGTATCTTTGCATCCTCAGCACAAAATAGTCTTCAGTGCATAGTTAATACTGACAATTGTACTGTGAGTGAAGAATACAGTCAATATAAAAAAATGAACTATCGGGTTGGAGAGACAGCCCAATGGTTAAGAGCACTGGATGCTCTTCCAGAGGTCTTGAGTTCAATTCCAGCAACCACAAGGTGACTCACAACCATCTAATAGAATCTGATTCCCTCTTCTGGTGTGCTTTAAAAACAGAGCACTCATATAAAATAAATAAATAAATAAATAAATAAATAAATAAATACTGAAAATGTTTGTTGTAAAAAAAATGAACTATCACTGATAAAAGCAATCTGTATTTTCAGGATAAATTGAGAAACGCATATAATTTTAAAGAAAATATTTTCTAAGGAGGATGTTCTAAAAGCTAATCGTTGACACTTCCTTACTTTCTTTGTTTTGCCCATTGCCTTCAGGATGGAGAGATTCAGATCTTCAAGTGCAGCCAGCACGTTCTCATATTCACCCAAGTGCTGAGAAAAATATTCTGAAAAGTAAAAGCATTAAAATAAATTTATATTGGAGTTTAGATAATCATCAAGCAAAATTTTCTACTGATAATTTACTTCATAAATCAGTAAGGAAAGTGTTGGCTTTATACAAATGAAAACTTGAAATCTATCAAATTAAGCTGAGGTTGCAGTATCCTAACTTCATAGGAAAAGTAAGACAGAAAGAGAAAATAGAAGCCTAGCTGATTATAATTACCCACAAAAGTGTTCTTTCATACAAAAGGGAAACATGAGGTGTGATGACAAGGTTGAGTCAATAAATAGTTATTCTCAACAGTACATTGTTACAGATCCCACTAGCATAGCAACTTAATAAAAAAATGTAGAAATGTTACTATCTCTCCTGGGAAACATTTTAAGAAGGTTAGCTTTCCCTCAAGGTTTTATGCTGCAGATCACAAGGGAGGGGTGCTGTGGCAACTCTACCCACACAGGCACTTCTGTCAAGAATTGCTTTTAATAAATTTAATAAATAAATCATCAATTTATTTCATGGAGCAAAAATCATGTTTATCACATTTTTCCACGCCTAGGAATAAGTAATGCCCTGGAAATTATGATTATAATGAAAACATTGAATACAAATAATTTCAAAGCAGTTGAAAAGTAATACAGAAAAGCGGAAACTTCATTTATAGAACTCCATATATTTCTAAAATCAGAGACATCCTATCGTAACAAAACTTCATTTTTACAAAGAGCAGAACTGTCACGCACTATGTACTGGAAAACCAGTAGCCCTTACCACTCCTATGAGTCATCTATGGATGAACTACTGTTTATTACTATATTTTTGTAAGGTATCATAATATTTTAAAAATTATACTAAAATGATATAAACTCACATGCAGACATCAATTACTGAGGCATACTGTAACATATTTGAGTAAAAACTGCTTTTATTAATTTACTTAATACTCTAGGTAGGGAGTGTTCACATTGGTATTAACAAAAGTGGAGCCTGAGAGGAGCCTGCAGAGGAGTTGGCTAATGTGTTTGTTGAACACGCACAAAACCCTGGTTTCCATCTCCAGTACCACGTAAGCCAGGTGTGATGGCGCAAGCCTGTCATCCCACACTCAGGAGCTAGAGGCAAAAGGATGAGATATTCAAGGTCATCCTCAGCCACACAGAGAGTTCAAGACAAGCCTTTGATTTCAGACGACTTTGTCTCAAAAATGAAAGAACTTAAATAATTGGACAGTTGACTGATTTTGTAGCCAATACATAAGCTTCTCCAAGAATGAAAAAACAACAACAAAAAAAACCATAAGCATTCTAGATTCTTGCCAAAATGCAGTCTATATACACGTAGATTTAATAAAAATGAAAAAGTTTTTCTAAAGGCAAAATAATTCTAGATCTGTAATCTTAAAAAACACTGTGACACATTCTTTATAGAAATTCTTTTAGGGATGGATCAGTGACCTCATAAATGAGCAAATCCTCTTCAAATAAATAAGAAAGTAACAGTTTAAGTCTTGGTTATGCTAATAATTTTCTGATAAGGTTGACTAAAATGTTTATCTATGCAGTGATTATAATAAATGAAATTTATATAGACACTACTCTTTATGAATCAGTGTGCAGTTAATAGTGCTGTGGAATATTCATAAAATGGGAAAATAATGTATATAAGGATAAAAGCAATATCAAGTTGAAATAAGCAACACATGCAAAAAAAACACTTCTGAAAAGATATGCTTGTTAAAGAAGACTAGCGGAGTTTTACATATATGTAGTAAAAATTCATGTTTTAAAGGTTTTATACAAAGAGGCTATGATGAAAGAAGAATGTATTTTCAATTAAAAAAACAAAAAAGCCCAAACATCAGCCTGGAGGCTTCAGATTGTATTTCCCCTTCCTCATTCATGCTTTTGTTCACCTCAGCTCTCATGTGAATAACCACATCGTGAGCGACACACTCGCTAGCAGTGACTGGGACTCTGAGGGAAGATGTGAATAGTGAATAACCACATCGTGAGCGACACACTCGCTAGCAGTGACTGGGACTCTGAGGGAAGAGACTACAATGCCAGGCCTGGATCAGGGGGTGAAGCTCGGTGACATGGAAGCTCACTCACAGCAAGATGCTAAGATCGTTGGTGAGAAAGGAAGCTAGCGGCACCAGCCACGAACATTCCTTGCTTTAGTGTTCTGCTTTTATCCTCAAATTGGTATCAGTGTTCTTGACTGTCTGAGGGAGAGTTCTCCAGGGCATCACTGATTTTGCTTCTCTGTGGACCAACAGCTGGAACTTGCTAACACATGTACACTTAAGTCTATGGAACTGGCTAGAAACTGATTATTATTAAAGTCTCATTTGCTAAATCAGACTCTTTAGGTTTAGTCCCAGAAATCAACATTTTCTACAGATTTTACAGATTATGGCAGGAAAATTGAATTTAAGATGCCTATGTGCAACAGGTAGGCGAAACATTTTGAAAAGAAGAGGCCATCCTACAGCTTTTCTGACAGCCTTGACCTGGGTGGGATATGGACAATTAGGGAGTGATGGTGACGTTGTTAAGAGACAAGAGCAACGATAATTGTCAGGAGGGTTTCATCATAGACGAAGGACCATGAATCAGGCCAAGGTGTGCAGTAAAGGAAAGAGCAGGAAATTACTGAGCTTGGAATAATGTCATATTTTTGTCATCACAATTCATATTTATTAATTAAATTACAATGCCAGTATGTGCTAGGAAATTGCTTTTGCCATTAAATCATATAATTGAAAAAAAAAACAGATTTAGAGCAGATATTGGCCACTTGAAACTCTTCTCTTTGGGTAACATAACAAGAATTATTTTCTGGAGAAAACAAAACCTACTTTTATTGAAGTACGCAAATGAGTTCCATGGATTTGGGAAAAAATAGCCATACAGCATTTATATAAAACTTAAGAATCAGATTTTCTCAGTTGATGTGAAGGACTTTTGAAAAGTCTCTCGATGAACAGAATGAAATTTATAAGCAGATAATTTAATCACATCTTCTTCCAGAAAGCAAACTATCTTCTTATGTATACCCAGCACAATATCTTCACTAATAAAATGCTAACAAGAGATTAGGTTCTCCCTTCCCCACTGTGTGGAATCAGTAGTGTCGGATTTTGGATTTTATTCTGCAATTCAGTCTTTCTTTATTATTATTATTTTATTGTTATCTTTAAAATTTTTTACAGTTTATTCATTTTATATCCTGATTGTAGTTCCCTCCCTCTCCTCCTCCTGGTCCCTCCCTCTTCCCCCTATCCCCTTCCCCTAGTCCACTGAAAGGGGAGGTTCTCCTCCCCTGCCATCTGCCCCTAGCTTATCCAGTCTCATCAGGACTGCCTGGATTCTCTTCCTCTGTGGCCTGGCAAGGCCGCATCGCCGGGGGAAGTGGTCAAAGAGCAGGCAAGCAAGCTCATGACAGAGGCAGCCCCTGCTCCCCTTACTTGAGAACCCATATGGAGACGGAGCTGCCTATTGGCTACGTCTAAGCAGGGGATCTAGGTCCTTTCCATGTATGGTCCTTGGTTGGTGCATCAGTCCCTTCAGGGATCCCTGGGCTCAGATTTTTTAGATTTATTGGTTTCCTTGTAGAGCTACTGAAATTCAATTTAGCAACTCAGTCTTCTAAACTGAATTTCAGGTCTGGCTTAAGAAGAACAAATGGGCCCAGAAAGAATTCTCTCATGAGTCTAAATGACATCAACAGTGTGGACCTTGTTAGCACCTCCATGCTTGCAAACCAGGCAGAAAGGAAATAAGTGAGATAAGAGACAAGGTTTAATTCCCTATAATCTGAAGAACACAATCAGATGGAAATTTTCAGTAAAGATTATTCTAACTGCATTGGTCAGCGTGGGTGAACAGCCCAGAAAAAGCCTAACAGAAAAATACACTTTGAAGAACTATACATAATCAAGATTCCTTTGTCTATTTTAGTGGTACAATCTAGATTCACTGATGGTAGTTCTGCTTATATGCTCGCATGCTGAAACATTATTAATTAAAAATATTATTTATACAATATTCCTGTAAGTTAGACTGCAAAGGTATTTTAAAGTGATATTTTAATGTTTTTGAGTTTTAGGTCCATGATTGAATTAACTGATAAATTAATCAAAAGCTTAATGATGCTAACATCTAGATACCTAGACCCTATAATTGGTTTCTAGGAGAAAGTGCATGAAGTCTCTTTTCTATGTCAATCAAGCCTAGCCCCTCTGCCGCCTACGGAGAACTTGAATGAGATGTAACTTGACATATTTCACTTGCCAGGACTGAAGGCTTAGCTCTGATTAAAATCTGACTCAAATATTTATTTTATATTCACAAAATAATGGGAAATGAAGATGCAATCTAGAAATAAAAATGCATATTCTAGAGCAGGAAAGAGGATTATAACAAGACTGTGAAGATAATCACTGGATTTTAAGAATATAAAGAAATTCTGTTGAATCAAAGCCCAATCAGTTCTCTTGCTAAAACTATGGGGGAGGGGGTAGTATTCAAATTCTTCAGTTTATACAGAGTAGATGACTCATCAAGTCTCATTATTATAGAAGAAGGCACACAAAATCTGCTGTGGATGGCGAAGACTCACTGTTATGATTTAAAATTTGGTAAGATTCATCTTAAGGACTAGCAGACAACAGAACAATCAGAGAGCAGCCACTAAAGGTTTATTTAAAGTTATTTAAAAATGTTTTAATTAATGTTTTCATGTTTAATTAATGTTTTTAATTTTTTAAATTAACAACAGTTTTATTGTTTATTTGAAGAGTTTTTTTTCTTTTCAATCAGCTCTTCTTACTCAGGCAAAGTTACCTGAATATAAAGGGAATTACCTGAAGCATTGGGAGGAATTGTTACTTTGGCTTGCCTGGACATATGTAAGAAGTAGGTGTCTAACCTTCATGAAGCGATCAAGGTGGCTGTCTCAGTTTCCCCATTTTCTCAGCCTTTCACTGGTGGGGCTGATTATACACGAGAATGAATTGCAGCTTGACCTTCAAGGGATTTGCTGCTCATCACACATTTTATGATCTACGTAGACGCTTTGTCTGTGTAGCACAATAATCGCCATGTGTAGTTGGGGCCACGTGTGACACCGTGTGAAGGCATTCGGGATTTCCCCATAACTCGCAAAAGCCTAAGCGTCTGTGACGCCAGAATGTCTTGCTTATGCGCCGGATCCTGTTTCTTCGGTTGGATTCTTACCCCTGAACCAGGAGGGACATTGTTTGGTTATTATGTGAGAAGTGCAGTATCTAATGATGACTGAAACATTAGCAAGCTCATGGTTGGTAATTAATATTTGTTTCATTTAGTTACTGCCTCAAAACTATTGAGACACTTTATCCTGACAAAATCTCTCAGTGTTGATCTGCCAGATTGCTGAAACCGAAGGTTACCAATCTTAAATGACATAAAATGTCCATTTGGGTGATTGTGGTAAGCTATAAAATTGTAAAACTCTACAGTAGCTAGGAAATATTTGTGATTTCAATGAGAAGGCCAATAAAACCTTTCTTCTATTTACATGTTTCAGGCTACCTACACAATGAAATCATACTTGCATAAAGGTGTTACTTATTACATTGATCTTAAAATGCAAAATATAAAACTTGCCCTATTCGTATATGTTCATTTCAAATTTAGTAGTTTCATGATGCTACATTTTCATAACAAGAATACATTTCATGGTGGAATCTGGAAAAGATCATCCTGAGTGAGCTATCCCAGAAGCAGAAAGATCCACACGGTATATACTCACTCATATAGACATATAATATAGGATAAACCCACTAAAATCTGTACACCTAAAGAAACTAATCAAGAGGGAGGACCCTTGCTAAAATGCTCAATCCCCGTCCAGAAAGGCAATGAGGATGGACATCAGAAGAAGGAGAAAAGAGGGAACAAGTCAGGAGCCTGACACAGAGGACCTCTGAAAGGCTCTGCCCTGCAGACTATCAGTGTAGATACTGAGACTTATGGGCAACCTTTGGGCAGAGTGCAGGGAATCTTAGGAAAGAAGTGGGAAACAGTAAGATCTGGAGAGGACAGGAACTCCATGTTATGGAGAGCAACAGAACCAAAAAATCTGAGCACAGGGGTCTTTCCTGAGACTGATACTCCAACAAGGACCATGCATGGAGATAACCTAAGACCCCTGCACAGATGTAGCCCATGGTAGTTCAGTATCCAAGTGGGTTCCATTGTAATAGGAACAGGGACTGTCTCTGACATGAACTGATTGGCCTGCTCTTTAATTACCCCCCCTGAGGGGGAAGCAGCCTTACCAGGCCACAGAAGAAGACAATGCAGCCACTGCTGATGAGACCTAATTGACTAGGATCAGAAGGAAAGAAAAGAAGTCCTCCCCTATCAGTGGACTTGGGGAGGGGCATTCGTTCAGAGGAGGGGAGGAAGGGAGGGATTGGGACGGGAGGAGGGAGGGAACCACAGGGGGGATACAAAGTGAATAAAGTGTAATTAATAAAGAATTAAAAATGTAAAAAAAATAAACTTAACTTATAAAAAAAGAATACATTTCAAGTTATTTACTTTTCCACGTTTTTAAATCTCTGATTTCTGTTCTCAGCCACAAAGGTCACAGAGATAAATGAAGAAGCTGGTAGACTAGGCATTTCAAAATATTTCTCTTTCCTCGCTTTGAACTTTTTTCAAAAGTGCATTTACGTCTCTAGAATGATTGCATGGATACTGAACAAAGTTGTTTTTCTATTTCAAGGCTACAGCTTCGGAACGGCTGTAGAAAGATGATGAAGCAGATGGAGAAGTTACATTAAGCTAGTTAAGAATTAGTTTTTACAAAATTATTGCACAATTCTGATTCTCTTTTCATGAGCAAACTAACCAGGCCCAAATGTTTAAGTAACTTGCACAATGGAGCCGCATTCAAGCATAAAGAAAAATCCCCGGTGACTTGGACTGGTGTTTATGTCACTCCAGGACTTTAAACTCCAAGGTGTGAAAAACATATCTCATCACATTTCCCCCTTTTTCTAAATCAAATTAAGAACACTTTGACTGGTCTTAAAGATACTCACCACATAGTTCTTCTGTGTCAAGATTGCTGAAAAGAGAGAAAGAAAGATATTATTTCTTTGATAAGTTTTTTTTCATTTTTCTTTTTATTCCAGTGATTAGGACTGATAAATTCAAAATACTGGGATAAGATGTTAAAGAAATGTTATACATAAATGTCAGAAGAATAGTGCATGGCCATGGAACAAGGACCCTGTGGTGCAGACATTAAAAGATACTTCAGCATCATTCAGTCACTCAGCTCACACATGCTATGCAAGTGATCATCCTTGGCACATCCCTAGCCCTTCACTTACATTTCTAAACATTTAAATGTAGTTATTCTCCAATCCAAATAATTGTTTAATGCATGTATGTGGCTAGATAGCTCCTTATACACTCTACATTGTTGAGTAGTTGTGCATTGTTAATAATGATTACATTCGATTCTGTCTCGAACAAATAACTCTGTGTCTTTTAAAAATTTTAACATACTAGAAAAATAATACACAGTAGCAGAAGACATAGCCCTGGGCTCAGAATCCTTGAGTCCAAATGTTGACTCTATAGGTTACTATCTTGTGACCTTGGATACTTATCAGCTAATAAACCATACCTAATCACATTATGAGAGAAAGGAGAAGCATAAGAACATTAGCAATAGTAAACGATAATTTAACACTCATGTGGTTATAATTCACATTTTAATATTAAAGTAAGAGGACTAGAGACATACCTCTTAAAGATCTAAAGTTTATGAAGGTAGCTAAAGAACATGAATTTGAAAAATCTTAGAATATGCACTTGTTACATGCCAGAGGTCAATGGGTGCCTTGACAGTCAAGTCTTCCAGCCATAGAAAGGGTCGCCAGACAGGAGAGGTGCTGCCATAGCACTCCGTCGTCAGCCTTCGTTCCTTGCTATGTTACCAAACTCAAATTTCATTACATGACACTGAAATTCTGCCTTGTGTTCGGATACTTCAATGCACATTTTTGTAAATTAGGTTTAACCTCAGACCGAATATGTACAGGTTGTTCGGTGTGGGCTCCTCACTCTTGGTTTATTCGCAAACATGCATCGATACATGTTAGACAATATTCTAGCTGCCACTGATACCTGAGGTTGAAACAGATATCAAAAGGAATATATCAAATTTCTAGTCTTTTGTCAATTTAATAGTTGACTCATAGGCCAGGTGTGGTGGCACACACCTTTAATCCCAGCACTCAGGAGGCAAAGACAGGCAGATCTTTGTGTATTCAAGCCAAGCCTGGTCTACATAGAGAGTTCCAGGACAGCCAGAGCTACAGAGGGAGACCTTGTCTGCACCACACACAGAAAAAGGTAGACATATAGAGAGAATAAGTGAATCACAATAAATCAGTTGATATCGGGGAACTGGATGATTTGAGGAATCAAAGAATCTTAGGGTAATAACACAATTAAACTAAAGTTCAAAGGTCAAATATGTCTACAAAAAGTATATGAACAAATGTTATTCTAATTAAAAATATCCTTTGCAATAAAAGTTAAAAGCATGAATAAAAATTCATTCAATTTCAGGGAACTAAGCTATCCATCTCACTGAATGTAGGTTTTGAGGAGAAACCAATGGGATGTCTTAAAACATCTGGGTTAGTTATCTCCAACATTTTGTAATATCATTGTAAGATAAATAATTTCTTTCCAAGTCTTACTGTTGCTATAGAACATCAGACTTGAAACGGGCATTAGAGGACACCCGTTTTGTACTTGTTTTCTTCAGAATGGTTTACAGGCTCATAATGAGAGTTATTCTGGATTTCCAAAAGAATAAACAGCTCCAATCTATTATTGAAAATTAAATTATTTGAAGTATAGCATGAAGTGGAACAGTCAGGAATAATGAACACAGGAGCACTGCTTGTTCTGTATTACAAAACAATACTTGTCAAGTGTTGCAGTGCTCACGGCTCCAACGTGTCTGTATTCTGTTGTTTTTGTGCTATGCTGTTAGTAGTGGGTAGGAAGCCATAGGTCTCTTTACAGCAGGTTTACATGGATAAATTATAGTTGGACTTGTTTCAAACTGGGTTCTATTCCAGCCTGTCGTAATGCAGGATTTTAAAGGAGTCACAAGCTACAGATAGATGAGTCTAGAGTGTATCTGATAGCACTTCTTTCCTCCCTTATAGCAAAAAGTCCAGTGGTATTTTAACAATTGCATCATATTAAAATGAGAGAGAGAGAGAGAGAGAGAGAGAGAGAGAGAGAAGGAGAGGGAGAGGGAGAGAGAGAGAGAGAGAGAGAGAGAGAGAGAGAGAGAGAG